TGTTTGTCTTAGAATTCCTGTCCATAAAGATTCCCAGTACTTACGTGCCTTCAAACTGGGAAAATCAGCAATTTATTTGGATTTTATGTCCCAAGACTCACTGAGGCCCCTGCCCCCTTCTTGCACATCCTAAATACAAATTTCAGGGGCATACAATTTCCAGGAAACTCCACTTTAATCCAGTATGTGGATGATCTCGTCTTTTGTTCTGACAGTTCTGACAGCTCACTTCTTGACCCAGAGTACATTCTTTATAAATAAATATTTATTGTTGAAAGTATTATATATGTCCCCATTTTCCCCTCATTGACCCCTTCTAGCCCAGCCCACCCACTGCCCCAGGCCTTCACCACCCTATTTTCTGTGTCCATGGGTAATGCAAATATGCATAAAAGTTCTTTGGTTGATCTCTTCCCACCCACCCACCCTTGCCTTCCCTCTGAGATTCCAGTTTGTTCCATGCTTCTATGTCTCTGGGTCTCTTTTGTTCATCAGTTTATTTTGTTCATTAGATTCTGCATATGAGTGAGATCATGTGTTACTTGTCTTTCTCTGACTCTCTTTTTTCACTTAGCTTAATACTCTCCAGGTCCCTCCATGCTGTCTCAAAGGGTGGGAGATCCATATTTTCTTGCTGCTGCAAACCATTCTATAAATATGACACAGCTATTTTATTCACTCATCTGCTAATGGGCACTTAAGCTGTTTCCAAATGTTAGCTATGGTGAATTGTGCTGCTATGAACATAGGGGTGCATGTATTCTTTCTGATTGGTGTTTCTGATTTCATAAGATACATTCCTAGAAGTAGGATCACTGAGTCAAATGGCAGTTCCATATTTAATTTGTTAAAGGAAACTCCATACTGTCTTCCACAGTGGCTGCACCAGTGTGCATTCCCACCAGCAGGGCACGAGGGTTCCCTTTTCTCCACATCCTCACTAGCACTTGTCATTGGTTGATCTGTTGATGGTCACCATTCTGACAGGTGAGAGGTGATACCTCATTGTCTTTTAATTTGCATCTCTCGGATGATTAGCGACTTTTAGCATGTTTTTCTATGTTTCTTGGCCATCTGTATGTCCGCTCTGAAAAAGTGGGTGGACATACTTTTTTTTAGGTCCTTTGCCCACTTTTAAATTGGATTGTTTGTCTTCCTTTTGTTAAGTTGGATGAGTCCCTTATGTAATTTAGATATTATACTTTATCAGATGTATCATTACCATAGGTTCTCTCATACAATGGGTTCCATTTTTCATGTTGTTGTTTTCTTTTGCTGTGCAGAAGCTTTTTATTTAAAATAACCATGTGTTTATTTTCTCCTTAGTTTCCTTTGCCCTAGGAGATGCATCTGTAAACATATTGTTATGAGAGATGCCTGAGATTTTGCAGCCTATGGTTTCTTGTAAGATTTTTATGGTTTACCTCTTACATATAGTCTTTTACCCATTTGGAGATTATTGTTGTGTATGGTTAAATTGGTGGGCTAGTTTCATTTTTTTTTTTTTTTCATGTATCTGTCCAATTTTCCCAACACTACTTAGTGAAGAGACGGTCTTGACTCCACTATATGTTTTTGCCTCCATGTCAAATATTAATTGAGTGTAATGAGTTGGGTCGATTTCTGTGATCTCTGTTCTGTTCCATTGATCTATATGCCTGTTCTTGTGCCAGTACCAGGCGGTTTTGATTGAAAAGACTTTAGTATAACCTGAAATCTAGTATTGTGATTCCTCTTTGTTCTTCAGAGTACATTCTTAAGGCAATGGCAGCAAAGGGCCACAAGAGGGCTCTCACTCTCCATGAGAGCAGTAGGAATGCAGGTTAACATCTGTACTGACAGGCCCAGACCTTTGGGGTAGAATAGGACTTTGGTGTGTTGGGGAAACAGAGGCTATTTGACAGCTGGTACCCCCGTTAATAATGGACCCCAAATAGTAGGAATTCTGGAGGCACTGTTAATACCCCCAGCCAATTGCCATCATTAAAACCAAACTCAGAGGAACCTCAGGGAAATAAAGTGGTTGCTAACTTTGCCAAACTAGAAGCCTCATCCCCAACCACTTGAGAAATTCAAGACTTTGAGATTATATCCCCGAGTCCCACGTTGAGGCCCCAGACCCCTGGTGAGATTATTCACCTCCTGAGAGGAAACGACTTATTTTTTTATGCCTTCCTACGGAATTAATAAAGGAGATCCTCGTGGCTTAAATAACTGCGGAAGGAAGGGATGGGGACAGGCCAGAACTTTAATCCACTAGGATGGAAACACCAAGATGGCCACTGGGTGGCGCCCAAGACTATCTCCAGAGTCTCTGTGTACAATTAATAAGACAAAACATGTGGAATATTTTTATCCCCAGTTTCATTTTCTGCGGTTTCAGTTATCCATTCAACTGTGATCCAAAAGTATTAAGTGGAAAATTCCAGAAATAAGCCATTTATAAGTTTTAAATAGTGCAATGTTTTAAACAGTGTGATGAAATCTCATTCTGTCCTTCCCACTCATGGTCCCTTTGTCCAGTGACTGCACACTGTATACGATATGTGCCTGTTAGTGACTTAGTGGCCATCTTGGTTCTCAGATTGAATGTTGGGGTATCACAGTACTTGTGTTCAAGTCACCCTTATTTTACTTACTAGCGGCCCCAAAGCATAAGATCAGTGATGCTGCAATTCAGATAGGCCAATGAGAAGCCTAAAGCGCTTTTTTTTTTTCAAGTGAAAAGGTGAAAGTTTTCAACTTAATAAGAAAAGAAAAGGAAAACTGTGTGTTGAGGTTGCTAAGATCTACAGTAAGAACGAATCTTCAACCTTATTGTGAAGGAAAAAGAAATTCATGCTAGTTTTGCTGTCACACCTCAAACTGAAAGAGTTATAGCCAAGTGTGTGAAAAGTGCTTGTTAAGATGGAAAAGGCATTAAATCTGTGGAAGAAAAACATGAATGGGGGGTGGAGGGGTAAGAGATCAACCAAAGGACTTGTATGCATACATATGAGCATAACCAATGGACACAGACAGTAGGGTGGTGAGGGCCTGTGCTGAAGGGTGGGAGCAGCTGGGGAGAGATCAATGGGGGTGAAGGAGACTTAAGCAATACTTTCAACAATAAAGAATTTAGATTTAAAAAAAAAAAAAAAGGCTTGAATGGAAAACGTGTTTCTATTGATGACACTGTGGTGCTCCAGAGAGCATGGAACTTAAATGTCATCTTCAGCAGGGACCCCCTGGAAGGAGTGACACCAAGCCGTTTTCTGCCACTAAGGGATGGTTACCCGGATTCAGGAATAAAGTCAAACTGAAAAAAATATAAAAATCGCTGGAGAGGCTGGGCCTGTGATGAAGAGGCCACTGCCACGTTCCTGGCAGAGTTGAAGGCGTTGATGAGGGCTCGGCACCATCCGTGGTTTCAGACATCCACTGGGACTCTTGAAACATACCCCCCATGGGTAAGGGAGGGGGGCTGCTGTATTAGACCAAAAAAGCAAATGTTTGGATCTTTCAGTTTTTAACCAACCTGAAGGGTTGCCACTCACCTCATCCACCAGATAAGCATGCACCTGAAAAACCATAAGGGCGGGATGGGAAGGGAGGCAGTAGCCGTTGGGCCCTTCCTTCAGTGGCAAAAAGGCTGCTCCTCAAATGGAGGAACTGGCCACTCACACAGCTGCTGCTTCTTGAACAGGGGCAGGCCACGTGAAGCTGCTGCTCTTAGGCCTGGAGTGGGTTGCTCGAGGGGCTGCTGCTCCTTGGACAGGAACGGGCTGCTCACATGTCTGCTGTTCACGTAGTTGCAGTGCCCTGGGCTAAAGCATTGGGCCAGTCAGAGGGGAGCGTACTTCAGAACTCACAGGATCCTACGTCTGGGGTGGCTGTAGCTTTGTTGATTGTGAGACCACAGCCTAGGTATCAGGTCCCTGGCAGGGATGGCTGTAGAGCCCCAGGTGTTATCTGAGGGCACTCTGGGTGTAGTTGAGGCTGGGCACCCAGTTACAGCAGCTCTCCCCTCCAAAAAGGCTAGGCCTCTGAGGACAAGCTGGCCTCCTGGTACAGTTTGCAATGGTAGCAGAAGCTGCCTAGCTAGGTGAGCCTGATTAGCCTGCCTCTGAAGGTCCTGTGGGATCTAATGTGCCGAACACACACACACACACACACACACACACACACACACACACACACCACCTGACCTCATACTCCTCTTTTACTCCCTCACTCACTCATGCTCTCTCCCTCACTGCCACATTCTTCCTGCCTCTGTAGTTGGGTCTGGGGTGTTACTGACCCTTTCGTGGATGGAGTTTCCTCTCCAAGTGTCTGGTTATGTGGCTTGCTCTCAAGCCCCTTGTCCAGACAGGAAAAAATTCATCTCAACAAGACACAACACAAAGGGAACTAAGCACAAATATATCCACAACACCAATAACCCCAATATAAGTGACCACCTGAGAAAAGAGAGTTAGGAGAGAGAAAAGAGAGCACAAATGACATCAAAGAGAGAGAAAGATATGAGATAATAGACAAAGGAAAAAACGAGAATGTGTGTGTGTGTGTGTGTGTGTGTGTGTGTGTGTGTATAAGACACCACAGAACTAATACATAAACAAGCAAAAACACAAACACCCAGCAAAGAGGGTTGGGCAGAATCTGTAGAGGCTGAGCTTATATATTGAAAATAAGATTAAGAATTGGATGAATATGGGAAGGACCTCAATTTAGTATTGAGAATTAGAAAAGGAATAAGTGGATAAGAAGAAAGAGAATGAGAAGAAAATAATAAATTCACAAAAATTTGATTTTTAAAATGGTATAAAAAATTTAAAATATAAAGTAAAAATGAAATATAGTGATGTAAAAGTAATGCAAAAAGATATAGGAAATAAAACAACCAACAAAAACAGGAAAACCGCCCTTCCCGTTGTTGCCCGCCCCATTCCGGTTCCCTGTACGTGGCCCGGCCCCTTTCGCCTGTGTCCATCACTCTGTACGGAGTTGCCGTCAGCATGATGGACAAACTGCCTGGCTTCCTGGGGACACAAGGCCCTGGACATGGCGGAGAACAACATGCTGGACCTGCTGTGCATGTGGAAGATGCACTTGGCTTCCAAGCCACTGAAGGGTGCCCGCATCGCCAGTGCCTGCACATGACCGTTGAGACAGCTGTCCTCATTGAGCCCCTTGTTGCCCTGGGTGCTGAGGTGCAGTGGTCCAGCTGCAACATCTTCTCCTCCCAGGACCATGCAGCAGCTGCCATTGCCAAGGCCGGCATTCTGGTGTATTGCCTGGAAGGGTGAAACAAACAGATGAGGAGTACCTGTGATGCATTGAGCAAACTCTGTACTTCAAGGATGGGCCTCTCAACGATTCTGGACGACGGCGGTGACCTCAACAACATCATCCACACCAAGTAGCCACAGCTCTTGTCGGGTATCCCAGGCATCTCTGAGGAGACCACAACCGGGGTCTACAACCTGTACAAGATGATGGCCAACGGGATCCTGAAGGTTCCTGCCATCAACGTCAATGACTCTGTCACAAAGAGCAAATTTGACAACCTCTAAGGCTGCCGGGAGTCCCTTATAGATGGCATCAACCGGGCCATAGACGTGATGATTGCAGGCAAGGTGGTGGTGGTAGCAGGATATGGCGACGTGGGCAAGGGTTGTGGGGCCAGAGTCATCATCACCCAGATTGACCCCATCAGTGCACTGCAGGCTGCCATGGAGGGCTATGAGGTGACTACCATGGACGAGGCTTGTCACGAGGGCAACATATTTGTCACCACCACAGGCTGTAACGACATCATCCTTGGCAGGCACTTTGAGCAGATGAAGGATGACGCCATCGTATGTAACATTGGACACTTTGACATGGAGATTGATGTCAAGTGGCTGAATGATAACGCTGTGGGGAAAATGAACATCAAGCCCCAGGTGGACCGTTACTGGCTGAAGAACGGGCACCGAATCATCTTGCTGTCTGAGGGCTGGCTGGTCAACCTGGGCTGTGTGATGGATCACCCCAGCTTCATGATGAGCAACTCCTTCACCAACCAGGTGCTGGCGCAGATTGAACTGTGGACCCATCCAGACAAGTACCCGTTGGGGTTCATTTCCTGCCAAGAAGTTGGATGAAGCAGTAGCTGAAGCCCACTTGCGAAAGCTGAATGTGAAACTGACCAAGCAGATGGAGAGGCAGGCCTAGTACCTGGGCATGCCCTGTGATGGCCCCTTCAAGGCCAATCACTACCGTTACTGGGAACCAGACTTGCCCTTTTGCCTTCTAGCTGCTGTCCTTGTCCAGATCCCCTCTTCTCCTCAAGAGCAAATGGCACCCATTTTGAGAATGATTTGTTAATGTCCCCCATCGATTCCCTGGAGCTGGTCACTCAGTGTTTGGCCTCTGCTATATCCCTCATACTGTTCCTTGTGTGGGAGAGGGAATTGAGAAGCCCCTCCTCAGGCCCTGGTCACAGTGGAGGCACATGGGAGATCCCACATGGAACCATGAGCTCAGGGGATTTAGAGCTGCTCAGTCAGTCCTTCCTTAGGCTGGAAGTTGGAAGTGATGGCATAACACCTGTGTAATTTACTATCTAAGCCCTCACCTGCCCTATGGATGCTGTGTCCATATCCTTGATTGACGGGTTCACTGCTTCCTCAGCCCATGACAAATGAGAAGGAGCTATATCATTGGGTGGGGAGGAACTGTTGGAGTTCAAATGCTCCTGAGAGCCTGGCTTAGTGCCGGGCATTCTCTTATACCTCAGAACAATGAGGTTGGCACTTTCAGTCCCTATTTTACAGGGGTTATAAAATACACTGTTATGGGATAGCCAAGAAAGGACAAGAGAAGTGACAGCCAGAGATTGAGAGAGGCCAGAGGATCTTAAAAGCAGGCATAGATCTGCCACCGCTTTGTAATGGTTCCTATCACAACCCTGGGTCAAAAAGATAAATTCTGTTTATGTTTATATAATGTTAGAGCAAGAAGGTAGATAAATAAAAATGTTGGTGCAAAACAAAACAAAAAACAACAACAGGAAAACTAAGGAAAGAAAAGAATAGAAAAAAAAAAGGATAACAAAATAATAAAAAAAATAAAAGTGAAAAAAAGTGAGGTGTCATTTTTTTTTTGTTTGTTTGTTTTTTTGTTTTTTGTTTTTTTGGCTGGCTTATGATCCCAGTAGTCTGTGCTGTGCTGTACTATTGCCCATTTCCCATTGTAGAAATCCTGGAAGTAATCATTAACCTCTCAGGGAGTATTTAGATTCCTTTGTGTGATTCAGGGTGGGGCCTGCGTGTGACTCTATTGGTTGCCTGGAGACTAGCGGAGGGGCTATCTCTCAAGAGAAACAGCAGCCCACGCTCAGGTATGACTCAGCACCAGACTCACAACCACCTCTACTGGACCACCGCCTATTCTCCCCAGATTCCACAAATATACTTCACCGCCTCCTCTCCCCAGATTCCACACCTTCTCCCGCACCTCAGCCACGGTTAAGTATCTGTATCCGAAAGGACCTATGAACTAGGTTTAGTGAAGAAAGGCACAGGCCCAGAATGGGGAAGGACTGTGTCTCCACAAGCTCCTCTCTTGCTGGCAATGCGCAATCTGGCCAGCCCTTCAGGGCTACCTCTGAGCTCAGATCCAAAATCCAGAATCCAAGGTCCAAAATCCCCTACCTCCCGCAGTCCCAGGGACCCTTTTTTCACAGTTAGACGCGTTGTCTGTCCTCAGGGTCCTGTCATCCTGGCTACAGTCACCCGACCCCTTTGAGTGCCACCCTATACAAAGGGCAGGGGTACCTGGCACCTGGGCTAGTATTAATAGGCTAGCACCCCTAATAGGGATGGAGCCTACAATCCTGCATTTGCCCTGACCAGGAATCGAACTGTCAACCTCCTGGTGCATGGAGAATGCTCAAGAAACTGGGACTGGGGAGTGAACTTGTGATCCAGGTACGTGCCCTTGATTGGGATCAAACCCTCAACCTTTTGGTGTGTGGGCTGAGGCTCTAACCACTGAGAAACACTGGCCAGGGCTGTCTTTTAGCTTTTTCTCTTCCTTTGGCTGCCTGGAATCAGAGAGGTCTCTGGGGAGGGTCTTAACAGAATGTCCATTAGCTTTTCAGGTGTGCAGGCACACTCTTGGACAAGAGAAATAAAACCTTATGGTCCCACATAAACATTCTGTGAGTGTTTATAGCAGTTTTATTTGTAATAGCCTCAAACTGGAAACACCCTAATGTCCAACAACAGAGAAGTTAATAGGTTGTAGAGATATCCTTAAAATGAACACTACTCGGCAATATAAGCAAGGAACTATTGCCATATCCAACAAGTTGGACAGATGGCAAAGGCATTATACCAGGAAAAAAGCCAGTCACAGAGATTACAGACAGAGTAATTCCATTTATATAGCATCTGGGCGAAACTATAAAGATTGAGAATGGGACATGGTTGCCAGCAGTTAAGTATGGTGGAAGGTGTGACCACAAAGAGACTTCTTGAGGGTTTTGGTGTTTTTTTTTAGGGGGGTTTGGGGAAAGAGGGGAAGAAACTGTTCTGAGAGATCTGCAGAGCTGACAAGTGAGAAAGGATTTGGAAATGGGGACTGTTATTATTGCTGGGAGTGATCACTCCCTACCTTCTACTTGGAAACTTTACGCAACCAGTTAATTTATGAGGTTAGATAAAATGTATAATATGAATGTATTTGCTAGGGAGAATTGAGAAGAGCAAGCCAAAAGATACATGAATGGAAACTGTTGAAATGTGCAGCCTGTGAGTGTTAGAAGTAGGATTCGGGGCTGGAGGGTGGTGAGAGAACTCAGCTGTTCTCGGAATGGATTGTGCTTGGTGCTTGTGCACGGTGAGCATTTCCTCCCATCTTCCTGTGCCTCCCTGAGGGGTGAGCCCTTTGTGGGCCCCACTGGTGCTCTGATTACTTAGACCCAATTTAGATTACTTAGACCCATCTTTAGTGACTGTGATACATTTCATTTGCATGCAGTTTACATTACCTCCTACATTGTTATTTTCTTTTCCAAGGTTGTCTATCTAGCTGCTGCGACATATCTCCACCAACTCCGTTCCTGAGCACAGCAAACTCACACACACACACACACACACACAGCACACACACACAGAGCAAACACACACAGAGCACACACACACAGCACGCACACACACACACACACACACACACACACACACACACACAATCTCCCAGCTCTGCAGGCCCAAGTCTTGGGATCAGTCTCACTGGACGAAAGCCAGGTGTCCGCAGGGCCAGATCCTTCTGGAGGTTCCAGGGGAGAAGCATGCCCTTAGCCTCTCCAGCTTCTAGGCTGTATCCCTTTGGCTTCCTCCATCTTCAAAGTAGTAGCATAGAATCCTCAGATCTCTCTCCATGTCACTCCTTTTTTAAAGGAAAAGGCCACGTGTTTCCGCTCTCACAGTGTTGTTCTTACTTCAGGTGCCTGTAGTTACATATTGACATCTAAGTACAGTGGCTGTTCCCCATGTTTACATCATATGCAACCCTTGAAGGACTCATAGACTTTTAAAGAGTATTTTTGATGATATTTGGAGACAATGACTTGAGATTATTAAATCAGCTAGATATGAATCATTATTTTTCCCCCCAATTAATAGGATCCATAAAGTTAGGAAATGTGAATTTTGGAAATGTGAATACTGGATTGTGTCTGGTGGTTGTTTGTACCTGGTGAGCATTACCTGGCTGGTGTGACACTCAACCTATGAACCAGGAGGTCACAGGTTTAATTCCTAGTCAGGGCACATGTCCGGGCTGCAGGCTCAATCCCTTGAGTGGGGTATACAGGAAGGAGCTACTCAATGATTCTCTGTCATCACTGATGTTTCTATCTGTCTCTCTCTCTCCCTTCCTCTCTGAAATTAATAAAAATATATTTAAAAAATAGGATCCATGCCAAAGCCGGTTTGGCTCAGTGGTAGAGCGTCAGTCTGCGGACTGAAAGGTCCCAGGTTCGATTCCGGTCAAGGGCATGTACATTGGTTGCGGGCACATCCCCGATGGGGGGTGTGCAGGAAGCAGCTGGTCGATGTTTCTCTCTCATCGACGTTTCTAGCTCTCTAGCTCTCTCCCTTCCTCTCTGTAAAAAATCAATAAAATATATATTTTTTAAATAAATAAATAAATAAATAATAGGATCCAAGTTCCTGTGTTTGAAACATTTCTATGCAACATGTTTCCAGAAATGGACTCCATTTGGATCATAAGGAACATGCCCAAAGCACCCATGGTATCTGCGAATGTGTTTTCTTTATTGGATACTTACAGTCCTAACATCAGGAGGGCCAGTATTTCACCAAGCTTGAAGCGGACACTGAGCTCTGGGAGGTTAAGTCATTGGACAAAATCCTGCTTACAAGTGGTGGAGTCAGTCACCTGATGTCATGGAAGGAAATTATGAGCATACTAGTGGCCTGGTGCATGAATTCATGCACATTGGAAGGAAATTAATTAGACGAAATATTTTAATATCACTATTCGCCCTTTCTCTGTAATACAAATGTCAGAGATGAAAGAAAATTAGTAAAATGTATATGAAAATAATACATAAATTGATTCATAAATAAACAATAACAACATGATATAACAACAACAAAGACATGATATAAAAAGAACAAAAGCATAATATAATAACAACAAAAACATGATATAAAAACAACAAAGGTAAAAACAATGACTGATAAATTGATTAAACTTATTGTAACACTGAGGCCAATGTCAGATGGGGAAAAATCAGTTCTTGGAATCAAAACAACCCCTCCTCCAAAGATCCTGTTAATACTTCAGCTTTGATTATGTTAGGTTGCAGTTTTTTTATAACAAATCTAGCACCATTACAAAGACCCATTTACTGTTAAGATTTCTCAGTAGCATGATTGCACCTACTTTCAATTCTAATTTATGATATGGCATTCCCGAAGGAGTAATACTTTTAAGAAATTCAATGGGAAATTTTTCCTTTGTGGCATCATTCGTTGCATCTAGTATTATTGTTGATTATACAGTTGTCTCTGAGTCTTAATGCAATATCCGTTCCCCAGCCTTTTTTCACCATGTGGAAACAGAATAGGATATGTCATTGCATCAGGATACTAATTTGTTTCATTTTACTGGCATTCGGATTATTGAGATCTGGTTTACAATGAATGAACAAGTCCCTTTCAAAAGGAGGTTCTCCATCTTTGTTTCTGAATATGATGGCAACTTTGGTTACATGGGGATAATTATATCTACTCAGATCACTAATACGATCATATTTAATCACCATTGTTATTTCTGTGCAACGCCAATGCCTTCTTTCAGTTCAGAATGCCAACAAGAACAACCAAGTTCACTATGAACGATGACACATCAAAACACATGTGTGCAATTGGTGCCAGCGAAAACTTCATATGTATTGTGCAAGGGTGAGTCAACATAGCCTTTTATAGATAGAGAACAAACTTGCTTAACTAGACCTGCTTTCTGATTTAGCTGAATGTTTTCCAGCCCAGTGAAGCACCTTCTCTTTCAAGTAATTGTCACCAACACAGCTGTAAATATCAACACGAAGCAGATTATCATTGTAGATCATGCAGGGAGAACAAAGGGTAAAATATTTAACTGCAGCAGTGTTTGACTATATTCTGCACAGTGAGAAAATCTGAAGTCATTTTCAAGGTCCACCATTGCTTACCTCTTTTCAGTTGGGTCAAGTTTCTAAGCTTTCTAAATCTCCATTTTCTGGCTAATGAAAAGAAAATACAATTCCACCGAGTCTCCTATCTACCTGCTCCAGGACTTCTGTGAGGGTCAAATGAGATGAGGCACAGGAAAATGCTTCACAGACATTTGGTTACAGCGAAAAGTGCTTCCATGTGAGGCTAGTCATGGCTGGGAGAGGAAGCCAGGTGTTGCTACTGGACATCATTACCCTGACAGTCGGACACTTAAAACTATAAAGGAGCCACAGCTAGAAACTGGTACCAGCATTGGACTTACAAGTGCAAGTGGGATGGAGGTGGAAGAGGAAAAGGAGATTTTTATTTTTCTTTAAAAAAAAAAATGTGTGCTGGAAGTTTTGCCTTATATATGCATGTCTCTGAAATTTTAGAAAGAATCCCGGTTGGGCCAGTAACCAGGAGAGTCACCTCGTAGCATGATCAGCAGGATGACAGAGGTGAGCAGGAATGTTCTGGGCAGATAGAGTGGGTCCTGATTCTCTATCATGGGGGTGAGAAGGGGAGGAGGAAAGGGAGGAAGCCCAAGCCCTGATGAAGTAACTTTTTCAGGTAAAGGGTGGAGGGCTGCAAGCAGAGACACGCGGGGACCAGGCTTAAAGCCTGTTGGGGAATTGCAAGAGAGGCTGTATGGCAGTGAGGGGGGTGGGGAGGGATGAAGACCAGCGCTGCTGCAGGAGCTGCAGGAGCTGCAGGGGGCATGGGGGTAGGAGAGAGCAGGGCAGGTCATGCCACTTTGCTGGGCACACTAGGGAGTTGGGGTTTCATCCCTGAGGCATTGAGGAGCCCCCAAGGATTTCCAGCCAGAAATTCCAAATGAGGTCACATTCCTGTGACACTGAAGTGTCCGCCCTCACTCTCGGGACTGTCAGCCATCGAGTCCTTGGATCACATGTCTGCTCCCTGTTATTATCTCAGTCGTTTACTTGTCTCTCTGTTATAATATTGTTTGTTGTTGGTGGTGACAGATTCCATAGGTTTCTTGCATTTCTGCACGCCTTGCACTAAAGTACTGTTTTCTTCCACCATCTTTTCAAGGATGTTTGTTCAGCAAGCATGTCAAACTCAAAGGCTAACACGGGCCAAATAAACAAGATTTAAGTTTATGTGGCTGCAAAAAACCAAAAGCTTCAATTTTCATAGAAACGTAGGTTTATTTAGAAAAGTATAGTATATAAAAAAAAAGAGCAATGATAAAATTAATGTTTCTTCCAGACACTTGGCATCTCTCCTCTGATATTATCTCTCCTACTTGGGGGAAATCTTGTTTGCAGTGATCTCTTTCAAAACTGACTGACCCAAGGTGAGTGACAGAATTCTGGACTTGACAGGAGACTTATTTCCTTTCATGGTTGTAAATAACTGCTCACACTGATAAGTACTTCCAAACATGGAAATAATTTCATATGCAAATTTTTTAGTATTTTCAAACCTGGCAGGTAAATATTTGTAAAATTCAGGCACACCAACTTCACTGAATTTTGCCTACAAATCTGAATCACACTGGATCTCAATTATCTCCATTTGCATTTGATTAGGTACTGATTCTATATTTATTGAACATATTGAAGAAAACTTGTATTCCAAAAATTAAAAATCTGCAAACCTTGTTTCAAATTCAGTTCTACGAATAAGGCTTAAAGTTTTTTTCCTGCATATTTTTAATACAATGCAGTTTCACCTAAACTTGATTTGTTTATGTTGCATGTCAGAAAGTGCATTAAATCTTTATTTTTCAATGGCTTTCGCCAAAGAACAACTTACATTTGCATGCTTTGAGTTGGTCACACATGTTTGTAATAATCCTTGTAGTTTTAAGTTTAAGTCATATAAGTGTTTTGTTTTATCAACCATGAGTGTTTTGTTAAATCTTACAACCAAATTCTGTGAAAAAACAGGCTTGTGTCTTTATTTTTTGTTGTTAAAAATTGACATATTTCTTCTTTCAAGTCCTAGAATTGTTTAAGAACCTTGGAGCAGGATAGCCAATGTACCTCGGCATAGTAGGGCAAGTACACTAATAGCATTATGACATATCAAACAGATTATTTTATTTTTTACTAAACAGCAAAAATACTCCCATTTTCACTTTTATTTTAAAAAAATTTTATTTTATTGTTTAAAGTATTATAGATAATAGTACATATGTCTCTTTTTCCCCCAATTGACCTTCCCCTGGCCTCCCTCTCCCCTCCCCCAATCCCCCAGTGTCTTGTGCTCATTGGTTATGCTTATCTGCATGCATACAAGTCCTTCGGTTGATCTCTTACCCTGCCCCCACCCCCAACACTCCCCAGCCTTCCTGCTGTAATTTGACAGTCTGTTCAATGCTTTTCTGCCTCTATATATCTATCTTTTTGTTCATCAGGATATAATGTTCTTTATTATCATAAAATAGAGGCCCAGTGCACAAAATTTGTGCGTGCGTGCGTGCGTGCGAGTGTGTGTGTGTGTGTCCCTTAGCCCAGCCTGCACCCTCTCCAATCTGGGACTCCTTGAGGGATGTCCGACTGCCTGTTTAGGCCCGAACCCAGTAGGATCCAGGCAGTCGGACATCCCTCTCACAATCCAGGACTTCTTACCTGCCTCCCTTCCTGATTGCCTCTAACCGCTTCTGCCTGCCAACCTGATCACCCCCTAACCACTTCCTTGTCAGCCTGATTGATGCCTAACTGCTCTCCCACCAGCCTCTTTGCCCCTAACTGCCCTCCCCTGCAGGTCTTGTCACTCCTAACTGCCCTCCCCTGCAGGCATGGTGACCCCAAACTGCCCCCCCTGCAGGCCTGGTCACCCCTATCTGCCCTCCCCTAAAGGCTGGATCGCCCCCAACTGCCCTCCCTTGCAGGCCTGGTCCCTCTTAACTGCCCTCTCCTGCTGGCCTGATTGCCCACAACTTCCCTCTCTTGCAGGCCTGGTCCTTCCCAACTGCCCTCTCCTACTGGTCATCTTGTGGTGGCCATCTTGTGTCCACATGGGGGCAGCCATCTTGTGTGTTGGAGTAATGGTTAATTTGCATAGTATTCTTTTATTAGATAGGGTAGAGGCACAGGTGGGGGCCAGCTGATTTGCCCTGAAGGGTGTCCCAGATCAGGGTGGGGGTTCCTTTGGGACATGGGGTTGCCTGAGCAAGGAGCCTGTGGTGATTTGCAGGCTGGCCATACCCCTCCTCCCCCAACAACCCAAGCAGAGGCCCTGGGATCTGGGATTTATTTATCTTCTATAACTGAAACTTAGTAGTCTTTTTTTTTTTAATTCAAAATGTATTTATTTAATATTATATATTCATCACAGGGGCTCAAACAGAGACTTAATTTTAAAAACAGACACAAAACAAATATGACACCACAGCTGAAGATAGAGTCCTACACAGAAATCAAGGCAAAGACAGACCATCCTAGGAAAAAAGTAAAAAGACAGCACAAGGAGACAGGCTGGACAGCCCAGGTCAGGGCTCTTGGCTGGAGATCTGCTTTGAGTAATTTTTCTGTAGGTACTTCTTGAAGGCTGTGGGATTTTTTCCAGAGCTCTGCAGCATCTGTGTCCAACGGGCTCTCACTGTTGGGTTCTCCTAGCAGGCTCTGGATGGAGAGCAGGATGGTCCCGGCATCATACAGGGCAGACCACTTGTCCTTTAGGAAGTCCAGGCAGATGTTACCCTGGATGTCTACATTGGGGTGGTAGCAGAGTAGGAGGAATTTTACTGTGGGTGCATTGTATGGGTAGCCACTGGGGAACTCTAGGGAGAGTTTATACCTCAAGTCTTCGTAGACTGTTCCAGCTGCTCCATGGATGGTCCCCATCCATTTGAAAAGGTTGTCTGATTCAGGGAAGGCAGAAATTCCTTTGTCACCAGACATCATGAGGGTCATCAGCTCCTGCTGTAACCTCTTGCCCACTGGGCCCTGGGTGGCACCTCCACTGGGCTTGGCTCCTTTATGAGCTGTGGGGATGCTGGCAGCGGTTGGGTTGCAGTTTTGGGAGGCCATCTGGGCAGCACTAGCAGAGACTCGAACTCGGAGAACACGACTGTAACTGCCTAAACTTTGTAGTCTTGAGCAGAGCCCTAGCCAGAGTGGGTAAAAATCTTGGCTTCCTCCATTGCCGGGGTAACCCAAGCCTCCTGCTCGCTTCATGGCCACAGCCATTTTTGTTGGGATTTATTTATCTCCTATAATTGAAACTTTGTAGCCTTGAGCAGAGCCCAGGGCTGGCCAGAGTGGGCAGAAAGCTTGGCTTCCTCCATCGCCAGAGAAGCCCAAGCCTCCTGCTTGCTCCATGGCCGGCCACCATCTTTGTTGGGTTAATTTGCATGCTTACTCCTGATTGGCCAGTGGACATGGCTTGTGGGTGTAGCAGAGTGATGGTTAATTTGCATGTTGCTCTTTTATTAGTGTAGATGAGTGAGATCATGTGGCATTTTTCTTTCACTGCCTGGCTTATTTCACTTAGCATAACGATCTCCAGTTCCATTCCCGCTGTTGCAAGTGGTAAGAATTCCTTCTTTTTTATAGTAGCGTAATATTCTATTGTGTAGATGTACCATAGTTTTCTAATCCACTCATTTGCTGATGGCCATTTACTAACAGGCTGGTCCCAAATCTTAGCTATTATAAATTGTGCTGTTATGAACATATGGGGTGCATATATCCTTTCTCACTGGTGTTTCTGTTTTCTTGGGATATATATTCCTAGAAGTGGAATTATTGGGTCAAATGGCAGTTCCATTTTTAAATTTTTGAGGAAATGCCATACTGTTCTCCACAGTGGTTGCACCAGTTTGCATTCCCACCAGCAGTGCACAAGGGTTCCTTTTTCTCTGAATCTTCTCCAGCACTTGTCATTTATTGATTTGTTGATGATAGCCATTCTAACAGGTGTGAGGTGATACCTCATTGATGTTTTGATTTGCATTTCTCAGATGATTAGTGACTTAGAGCATGTTTTCATGTGTCTCTGGGCTTTCTGAATGTCCTCTTTCAAAAAGTGTCTACTCAGGTCATTTGCCCATTTCTTTTATTGGATTGTTTATCTTCCTTTTATTAGTTGTTTGAATTCCCTGTAAATGTTGGAGATTAAACCCTTATCTGAGATAATGTTGGCAAAATATGTTCTCCTGTGCAGTGGGCTTTCTTGTTGTTTTGTTGATGGTTTCTTTTGCTGGGCAGAAGCTTTTTATTTTGATGTAATCCCATTTGTTTAGTTTCTCCTTCATCTCTCTTGCCCTAGGATCTGTGTCTGTAAAGATATTGCTATGACATATGTCTGTAATTTTGCTGCCTATGGCATCTTGTAGAATGTTTATGGTTTCCCATCTTATGTTTAAGTCCTTTAGCCATTTTGAGTTTGTTTTTGTGTGTGGTGTTAAGTTTGTGATCTAGTTTCATTTTTTTTGCATCTATCTGACCAAATTTCCTAGCACCATTTATTAAAAAGGCTGTTTTGACTCCATTGTATGCTCTTACCTCCTTTGTCAAATATTAATTGAGTATTATGACTTGGGTCAATTTCTGAATCCTCTATTCGGTTCAATTGGTTTATATGTCTGTTCTTGTGCCAATACCAGGCAGTTTTGAGAACCGTGCTTGGTAATATAGTTTGATGTCTGGTATTGTGATTCCCTCCAACTTTGTTCTTTCTCATAGAAGCTGTGGCAATTCAGGGTCTTCTTTTTTTATTCCAGATGAATTTTTGGAGAGTTTGTTCTAGATTGTGAAATATACCATTGGTATTTTAATAGGTATTGCATTGAATCTATAGATTGCTTTAGGTAGTATGAACATTTTAACGATGTTGATTCTACCAATCCATGAACATGGTGTGCTCTTCCATTTGTTTATGTCTTTCTCTGTCTCTTTTTTCAATGTCATATAGTTTTCTGAGTACTAGTCTTTTACATCATTGGTTAAGTTTATTCCTAAGTATCTTAATTATTTTTGATGCAATGGTAAATAGGATTTTTTTTTCATTTCTCTTTCTGTGAGTTCATTATTGGTATATAAAAGGCCATAAATTTCTGGGAGTTAATTTTGAATCCTGCTACATTGTCAAATTCATTTATTAGGTCTAGTAGTTTTTTATGGAGTCTTTGGAGTTTTCTATGTAGTATCATGTCATCTGCAAATAAGAACAGTTTACTTCTTTTCCAATTTGGATGCCTTTTATTTCTTCTTTTGTCTGGTCGCTATGGCTAGTACATCTATTACTGTATTGAACATGAGTGGTGAAAGAAGGGCATCCTTGTCTTGTCCCTGTTCTTAGGGGGAAATGGGTTAGTTTTTGCCTACTAGTATGGTGTTTGCTGTAGGTTTGTCATATAGGGCTTTATTATGTTGAGATATGATCCCTCTATTTCCACTTTGCTGAGAGTCTTTATCAAGAAAGGCTGTTGGATTTTGTCAAATGCTTTTTCTGCATCAATTATGTGATTATGTGATTTTTGCCTCTCAGTTTGTTTATGTGATATATCACATTTATTGATTTGCAGGTATTGTACCTTGCATCCCTGGAATAAATTCCACTTGATCATGGTGTATTATCTTTCTAATGTATTACTGAATCTGATTTGCTAGAATTTTGTTGAGGATTTTAGCATCTATTTCCATCAAGGATATTGGCCTGTAGTTCTCATTTGTGTGTGTGTGCGTGTGTGTGTGTGTGTGTGTGTGTGTGTGCATGTGTGTGTGTGTGTGGGTGGTGTCTTTATCTGGTTTTTGGATTAAGGTAATGCTGGCTTCCTAGAAGAGGCTTGTAATTGTGCCTTCCCCTTAAATTTTTTAAAATAATCTGATGATTTTTTAGTTTTTGTTTGAATGCTTGTAGAACCCCTGTAAAGCCATCTGGACCAGGGCTTTTGTTTGCTGGAAAAATTTTTATCGCTGTTTCAATTTTTTCATTAGTTATCAGCCTATTCAAGTTTTTTTATTCTTCTTGATTGAGTTTTGTGAGCTTGTATTTTTCTAAGAATATATCCATTTGGTCAGGATGTCCTTTTTGTTGGAATAGAGTTGTTCATAGTATTCATAGTATTTTTTCATAATCATTTGCATTTCTATGGGATCGGTTGTTATTTCACCTCTTTTATTTCTGATTTTGTTTATTTGGATCCTCTCTCTTTGCTTCTTGGGGAGCCTGGCTAGAGATTCATAAATCTTGTTTATCCTTTCAAAGATCCAGTTCTTAGTTTTGTTGATCTTTTGTATTGTTTCCCCCTCCCCCCCCTCTCTTTCATTTATCTCCACTCTGATCTTTATTATTTCCTTCCTTCTGTTTATGTTGGGCTTTTTCTGTTGCTCTTTTTCTAATTCTGAGTTGTAGAGTTAGGTAATTTATTACCATTATTATTTTTATTTTTTTAATTATTTTTTTTTACAGTTACCAAGACCTCAGTTCCCATCAGTATTGTCCTCACTGAAGTCCAGTTCCCCTCCTGCAGGCATCAATTCTCCTCCTGGCCTGCATGGAGCCCAGGCTGGGGATCTCACAGGTGAGGTCGCTAGTTGCCAGGATCCAGGCCATGCAGGAGCTGGGAGTCATAGAGTCGAGTCTGGGTGCCATCTACTTCAACAGCAGTGGGCGTGCTCAGGATAACAGTGTAGCGTCCCTTTAAGTCCTTGGGCAGTGAATTTCTTTATCCACACTGAGTTCCCGGGCTACAGGGTCTGCAGTGGGCACTGGCAGTGCATCTGGAACAAGCAAACTGCAGGGCCTGTAAGGGAATGGTTACCATACATGATCCCCTCCAAAAAAGGGGGGAAACTTGTCCCAGTAAGGGGTACACCTGGCCCTTAAGAGGGCAAAGGATAGGGGGTTGGTCCAATTTTCACCGATTCTAGGACACATTTAGTTAAACCCCTTTTTCAGAGTCTCACTTTTGCCTGTCCTAAGGCTAGAGCTATACTTTGAGATACCTTGGCTACAAAGGTGGGTCTGTTATCTGATACTGGCAGCCCGAATCTAGGTATAATCTCCTGGAGTAATCTCTTGACTACTATAGAGGCAGTTTCTGTGTTAGTGGAGTATACTTCAACCTAATCTGAAGTGTCTACAAAAACTAGACCTTAATGCTGGTGGTTTAATCTCTGAAATCCACCTACCAATGCTCTCCTGAGGAAGTTTCCTGAGATCCAAATTCCCAGGGGGACCCCCTTACCTAGCTTAGCATTTACCTGTGCACATACAGTACTTCTATCAACTCTGCCTCACAGAAGCTCAGAAGTCTTGGTGACACTTAAGTGGGTAACCTGGTGTCACTGGGCAACTCTGACCTAGAGCCTCTGGGACCAACAGTCTTGCATATGGAGGGTCCACCAATCATCTGGTCCTTCGGTGGCCTGCTTCTATTCAGCCAATTCCTTCCGGTTGTAGTTGGTAACCCTCTTTTCTCTGTGGATAGCACAGTGTCTCCATCAAAGGGCCTGGATTAAGGCCAAAAGTTCAGGAACTGTGCCCAAATGGTGTGGTCCAGGGTGACTATCACTGCCTCTTCATATCAGATCCCATCTTGAACGTAACTGCTCCCATCCATGAACAGTACTTTGTCATCTGTTACCTCTGTGCAGTCATGAATGAGTTCCTCCATCATCATCTGGAAGCAGGCTGGCAGGGTTGATGGCCAGAGTCTTATGAATCTGGATATAGGGCTGGTCCAGGAGAAAAGCTTGGCCCATAGTCTGCTTATCTGCCTCCTTCACCAGCAATGCTGTGGTGGCCCAGAAGCACGCTGGCCACCCTGCTGCCACAGGGTCCAGTCCCTTAGACAGATAGGCAACAGGTCTCTTCCAGGGACCTAGAGTCTGAGTGAGAACCCTTTCTATTAGTTGCTGGCCTTTTATAATTTCAAATTAACTTCTAAACTTTCTTTCTATATCCTTCAAAAATACATAACCAGCCAAAACCGGCTTGGCTCAATGGATAGAGCATCGGCTTGGGGACTGAAGGTACCTGGGTTTGATTCCGGTCAAGGGCATGTACCTTGGTTGTGGTCACA